GGCCCGGCACCGGTCCGCGGACCGGGGGTTGGGGACCACTGGACTAGATGACCTACAAGGTCCCTTCCAACTCTGCTAATCTAATCCAAACTTGAACTCTCCTGAATAACAGTTTCTACTGTACTGTCAGACTGCTCTTACTATTAGAAAAAAAATCCTTTCATATAGAATCCACTTTTCTGTCATTTAACTCTGTTATTTTCTACCCAGTGCCAGAGTGATAGGGAACAGGATCTGGCCTTCTTCTGGCTGACATCTTCTCAGGTATCTTTAGAGGCCTATCACATCCTCCTCAATCTTCTCTTTCTTCCCAGTTTCCTCAAAACTCTTTATTTCTAGTGCAGTTTCTAGTTATCTACCATCCTGGTCACCCTTCTTTTGAACCTGTTCTGTTTTCTCCAGATCCTCCTAAAAACCCAAATCAGAAACAATACTGACTCGTAACTCTATCATTTACGTTGCATCTTTTGGAAACCTGACGGTTACTTTGTTCAAGGAAATTTGGTAAAAAATGAGACATTTGATAGAACACAGGAGAATTTGAAGGATCAGAAAAGAGCTTAGAGGCAGATAAACCTGAATTTCTTGAAATCAGATAGTGTGGGTCAGAACATCTGGGGCAAGGGATGCCTTCAAGTTCTAAGGTGGGCCTCCAACCCATCCAGTTATTTTGGTTAAAAAGAATAAGAATCCAGGAATATTTATTTATCCTATTTAGATACCCATTTCCTACATTGTTAAAACATGTGACTCTACAGGTAATCCTCAACTTATAACAGTTCATTTAGTGACCATTCAAAGTTACAATGGCACTGGAAAAAGGGACTTATGACCATTCTTCACACTTACGACCACTGCAGCATCCCCTAGTCACACGATCAAAATTCATACGCATGGCTACTGACTCATATTTATGACAGTTGCAGCATCAGGGATGACCCCCTTTTGTGACCTTCTGACAAGCCAAGTCAATGGGGAAGCCAGATTCCCTTAACAACTGTGTTATTAATGTGGTGGTGCAGTGGTGAGAACGCAATACTGCAGGCTGCTTCTGTTGCCTGCCGGGTGCCTGCAATTTGACAGTTCGAATCTCATCAGGCTCAAGGTGGACTCAGCTTTCCATCGTTCTGAGTTGGGTAAAATGAGGGCCAAGATTGTTGGGGGCAAGAGGCTGCCTCTGTAAACCGCTTAGAGAAGGCTGTAAAAGCATTGTAAAAGGGTATATAAGTCTAAGTGCTATTGCTATCAGCAACTGCAGTGATTCACGTAACCACTGTGGCACGAAACATCGTAAAAGGGGGCAAATTTTATTTAGCAAGTGTTTCACTTAGCAGCAGAAATTTGGGTCTCAATTGAGGTTGTAGGTCAAGGGCTGCCTGTATTGGGTCCAATATAAAAAAGGTGACTTTGACAGTTCAGGATGGTGTGAGGTGAAAGGCGCACCTGTGGCCCTCCAATGACAAAACGGCCGCTGGGTTGAAGGTGGTAAACGGTATTGTCATCCAAGTAGTGGGCTGGCACCACGGCTTTGATCACATGTTCCTGCAAGGCCTTGCGCATGGAATCCAAGGAGATGCCTTCATCATGCTGCACAGAGATGACGATGGTATGAACCCGCATGGGGATGACCGCTCCATCTTCCTGGGCGTATTGAACGGTGATCTGAAAACAAATGACGAAAGGGTGATTTAGACTGGGCCGGAAAGAGGAAGGAATGTAAGAAAACCTTTGGTTGTTTTCAAGATGTTTAAAAGGATGGGGGATTGCCGCTCTTCCGGTTCAAATAAACATTTCTCTCTGGTCTATGGAGATTCTCTGTCATCCAAGTCATAGTGGTCCCAAAGGGGCTTTTTATCAAGAGACAACTGGGACTTTCTGGTTTTTCTTTGAAGGCATTTTGCTTCTCATCCAAGAAGCTTCTTCAGCTCTGATTCTTTGGAGTTGTTTTGCTTCTCCATGAAACGTCTTCAAAGAAAAAATCAAAAAATCCAGTGGCCTCTTGAGAATTACCCTCAAATTATGCACACCCATACAAAAAACTGTTCAGTTAGCAGAGAGAAAGATTTTAATTTTATCCTGTAGATATACACCTTCTCAGACGGGTGCCATAAAGTTGACTCAACATAGAGAAAAGTAAGATTTTACAACTAAGCAAGAAAAACGAAACAGGTAGGTATGGATTAGGTGAAACTTGGCTTGGAATCCTACTAGACAATCAGGTCAAAATGAGCCAGCAGTGTGTTGCAGCAGCCAAAAAAGCCAACACAGTTCTAGGCTGCATAGACAGAGGGGTAGAATCAAGTTTGTATGAAGTGCTAATACCACTTTATAATAATCCTGGTAAGACCACATACTTGAAATACTGCATCCAGTTTTGGTCATCACAATATAAAAAAGATGTTGAGAATCTAGAAAAAGTGCAGAGAAGAGCAACAAAGATGATTAGGGGGCTTGAGGCTAAAACATATGAAGAACGGTTGCAGGAACTGGGTATGGCTAGTTTAATGAAAAGAAGGATTGGGGTGACATCATAACAGTCTTCCAGTGTTTGTGGGGCTGCCACAAAGAGGAGGAGGTCAAATTATTCTCCAAAGCACCTGAAGGCAGAACAAGAAGCAATGGATGGAAACTAATCAAGGAGAGAAACAACTTAGAATTATGGAGGAACTCCAGAAGTTGTGGGTGTTCCATTACTGGATGTTTTAAAGAAGGGATTACATAGCCATTTGTCTGAAATGGTATAAGGCCGTGATGGCAAACCTATGGCACGCCTGCTAGAGGTGGCACGCAGAGCCCTCTCTGTGGGCACACGCGTCGTCTCCAGCTGCTCTTTTGGTTTCTGGTGTGCACCAGCCAGCTGGTCTTCATCAGCGCTGAAGTGCTGGAAAATGCCCCCCAAACCAGCCAAAAAACAGGCCACTTTCGGACCATTTTTAGGCCGTTTTCAGGCTGTTTCTCGGGCCTAAAATGGCCCCAAAACTGGCATGTGTGCACTGGCCAACTGTCTTCGGGTTTCTGGTACTTCGGCTCATGCATCCGAATTCCGGTTTTGGCATTCAGTGCTGAAAAGGTTCACCATTCTTGGTATAGGGTCTCCTGCTTGAATGGGGGCAGGACTAGAAAATCTCCAAGGTTCCTTCCAACTCTGTTATTCTATAATAGAAAAAAGCTCAGTCCAGCCCTCTCACCTGTCTCTCACCTGTCTTGAGGAACAACTCTTATTTCTTCCAAGAGCATCTCTTTGATCCAATCCAACTCCAGTATCTTGGTGTTCCTTTCTGTTTCCCTCAAACGTATCACATATGATCCTAACCTCTAGTTTTGCCACACAGGTTGGCTCTAAGCCTCTAGAGAAGGAGCCATTGGGCTTGATCCGAACCTACCTGGGTTTTGGAGTCTGGTCGAAGCCAAGGGAGGACTCCATTGCGTCTCAGCTCAGCCATTTTGGCATTCAGCTTGTGAGCAAGGATAATGGTTAGAGGCATGCATTCTTCCGTTTCATCGGTTGCATAGCCAAACATCAGGCCCTGCATGGAAGGAAGATGAGACCATTCTTTAGTGCTTTGCTAGTTTATTAAAGGAAAAGAAAAAAGAACAAAATTGCAAAGGAACCTCAATCGATGAGATACTTTTTTGGCCTTCTATAATATCATAGATTTTTCTCATTCATTAACCCCTTGCGGTTCCTGGCTAGTCTTTCTTTCTTTCTTTCTTTCTTTCTTTCTTTCTTTCTTTCTTCCTTCCTTCC